GACATTTAAAGTGATCTTTGGAATTCAGTCAGGTGAACCTCTTTCATATAGGATTCAAAGTACACAACTTTGTCATTGGAGACTGATATAGGAAACAACATGTACCCTTGGTCTACTCCTGGAGTCCTTCATATACAGATACATTTTATTTTTGATATCGTGACATTTATAATTTGACCTCCCACTTCTACTTATCATCCACAGATTGATAAACTTATTACATTCTGCTCATTAAACAACAGTTTGCCGATGGCAGGTGGTAGCTAATTCAATATAAGTAACTACATGTAGAACATCTTTATTTAGGCGATATAAATAAAGTCCTAAACTTAAGCAGAAAGGGATAGTAAATTTCCACCACAGTTGAGACAAACTGCAATAGTCTTATATTAAACTTCATGCAAAGGGAGGCAATTCTACATGCCTCAGAGAGAAAAGCAGTAATGTTACAGTGATTTCACCAATTTGAGAATGACTGACTTTTTTTATAAGGATGGTTTCTACAATGCTATATCTATCTGCTATTATAATATGCACAGAACATCCATGACTAAGGTAGGTAACTGAACATGCTATCAAGTCAGTCTATACTGAAAATTAGTGTTTCTCTGTACAATACAATGGCAACATTCTGTGGGATTAATAGTAAGGTTTGAAAATGGTATCAAGGACATTTTTCGTAAGCTCAAGTGACCTCCGAGCTGAAAGGGAGAAACATGATCATGACACGGAACATATTTCTATAACAATGCAATCCACTGGAACAAACTTATACTAATATACATGTACATGATGGTAACATGAGTATATTTATAGAATATTATCAGTTAGATCATGATGCAGACCCACTTCCAATCAAGTCACATTTCATTAAACTAAACAAATAGGAAATTTTACTTAAATTGCTATGAATAATTTTATCACAAATTTAATATAAGCTGAAACACGTGTATGTGAATGACAGTTTATATAAGGGATAACAGTACCAAAATTTGAGTGAAGCTGTACATTTTGGTTATAGCTGTCAGATCTCACAGTATGGTTTAAACAAGGCGTGCCACATGTGCTTCATGTGTCAGATGTACAAAATGTACTATCTGTGTTGAGTGTACTAAATGTGTTAATTGTCATGTTGACTGAATTGAATATGTCCATGTATTGGGAATGTCACCTGTACACTATATATATATATATACTGACATAACAGATAATACAAACAATTTCATCTGATTCTACAGTGTTCAAAGTTGAATGCTTCCCAAAGCATTCATTGTAACTAAATAAAATATCTGTAAAAAAATGAAAATTACCCATTCTTCAAAAAATATCAAAGAAAATACACATATAATATTTACAATGAATTGCATTCTATTGAATATTATAAAAATACAAAACTCAAATATGAAAAGAGACAAAAACTGAACAAAGATTGAATAAACTCAACTTTTTGTTAACATAAGAGGAAGACAGAAATTAGCATCCAATATTCTACACAGGCTAACTTTAGTACACAGATTTCAAAACAGTGTTAACATGTCACACTAAGTTATCCCAATGCTAATGTTTCATTCTAAGCAATACACTGCTTAAAATCAAAGCTGAATACAGTATTTTGGTATGTATTACACGTACAGCACTAAAGATACATGTCATGTACTCAATTTAATCTGAAAAGGACCCCATTTATAAAATACCTGCAACATTTAGACTTGTGAGGAGTATGGGTTTATTGATAGTGTTAGGATTATATTTGGACATCTGCCTATCTGTTTCAGGGCTGAAATACATATCTGCCTATCTGTATCAGGGCTGAAATACATATCTGCCTATCTGTATCAGGGCTGAAATACATATCTGCCCATCTGTATCTGGGCTGAAATACATATCTGCCTATCTGTATCAGGGCTGAAATACATATCTGCCTATCTGTATTAGGGCTGAAATACATATCTGCCTATCTGTATCAGGGCTGAAATACATATCTGCCAATCTGTTTCAGGGCTGAAATACATATCTTCCTATCTGTTTCGGGGCTGAAATACATATCTGCCTATCTGTATAAGGGCTGAAATACATATCTGCCTATCTGTATCAGGGCTGAAATACATATCTGCCTCTCTGTTTCAGGGCTGAAATACATATCTGCCTATCTGTTTCAGGGCTGAAATACATAATCTGCCCATCTGTATCTGGGCTGAAATACATATCTGCCTATCTGTATCAGGGCTGAAATACATATCTGCCTATCTGTATTAGGGCTGAAATACATATCTGCCTATCTGTTTCAGGGCTGAAATACATATCTGCCTATCTGTATCAGGGCTGAAATACATATCTGCCTATCTGTTTCAGGGCTGAAATACATATCTGCCTATCTGTTTCAGGGCTGAAATACATATCTGCCTATCTGTTTCAGGGTTGAAATACATATCTGCCTATCTGTTTCAGGGCTGAAATACATATCTGCCTATCTGTTTCAGGGCTGAAATACATATCTGCCTATCTGTTTCAGGGCTGAAATACATATCTGCCCATCTGTTTCAGGACTGAAATACATATCTGCCTATCTGTTTCAGGGCTGAAATACATATCTGCCGATCTGTTTCAGGGCTGAAATACATATCTGCCTATCTGTTTCAGGGCTGAAATACATATCTGCCTATCTGTTTCGGGGCTGAAATATACATTATGTCAGAAATCTTGAGGGATTTTAGTGTCCACCATTGTTTGATATTTATTTGGTCTTCACAAGTTGGATATCCTTTTCTTTTCACTGTTTTTGCCTTGCATCTCATGAAATTTGAGAATTCATCTAAAGGATTAGTGATAAAATAATTTTTAACTGTCATAAGATGGTTTCCATCTGTCAGCCATTTTGTTTTTCTGATCAGTCCAAATATCATAAAGGTGCATTGAGGGACCAATGAGAACCTAAACAGTACTTCCCAAGAACAGAGATAACAAACTTTCATTATCAAAATCCATAATGGCCACCTGCCAGCTAGTTGGTTTTTCTGATCAGTCCAAGAATCAGAGATTACAACTTAGCAACTAGGGGAACCTACATATTAATTCTGAGGACAATCCATCCAGTGTTTGTCAAGAAATAGCTATTACAAGATTTGTTTATGGACCCAAGACAGATGGACAAAGGATGGAGGACCACAGATATAAGGTAATTTGAACAACTCAACAGGTGTTTAGTGGCCTTACAATACTACAGAGATGTTTCTACTTAAGATATGAAAAATCAACTTCACAAACCAAGAATCCAGTCTGATAAGCACACCAATTAACTGCCTATATAAAGTCGTAGATGAATAATTATACAATATCATAGAATGAAGCTAGCTGTCACAAATTGCTTTATTTGTTTAATCATTGTACATGTTTTAACTGATGTACAAGTATTTCATTTCAATCTCATTCCACAACAACTTGTAATGACCCAGACAAAAATAGTGAATAAACATGAGATAATGTAACTTCGATAGGAAGAGAAGACACTGTACTGTAATGAAGGGATGGGAAACACTGAGCTATAGCAAGGGGTGGGAAATACTGTGATATAGCAAGGAGTGGGAAATACTGTGTTATAGCAAGGGGTGGGAAATACTGTGATATAGCAAGGGCTGGGAAATACTGTGATATAGCAAGGAGTGGGAAAATACTGTGTTATAGCAAGGGGTGGGAAATACTGTGATATAGCAAGGGGTGGGAAATACTGTGATATAGCAAGGACTGGGAAATACTGTGATATAGCAAGGAGTGGGAAATACTGTGTTATAGCAAGGGGTGGGAAATACTGTGTTATAGGAAGGGGTGGGAAAAACTGTGATATAGGAAGGGATGGGAAATACTGTGTTATAGGAAGGGGTGGGAAAAACTGTGATATAGGAAGGGATGGGAAATACTGTGATATAGGAAGGGATGGGAAATACTGTGTTGTAGGAAGGCATGGGAAATACTGTATGTAAAGAGATGAAAACATTTTGTTATAAGAAGGATTACTGTAGGGAAGGAAGGATAACATTGCACAAAGGAAAGGGATGTTAGACACTGAATTGTAGGGATAGAGTGTAATGTAGAACGTCAGAAAGGGATAGGGGATTCTGTTATTTAAGGAAGAGATGGGGATACTGTACTGTAAGAAAGGGATAGGGGATTCTGTTATTTAAGGAAGAGATGGGGACACTGTACTGTAAGAAAGGGATAGGGGATTCTGTTATTTAAGGAAGAGATGGGGATACTGTACTGTAAGAAAGGGATAGGGGATTCTGTTATTTAAGGAAGAGATGGGGATACTGTACTGTAAGAAAGGGATAGGGGATTCTGTTATTTAAGGAAGAGATGGGGATACTGTACTGTAAGAAAGGGATAGGGGATTCTGTTATTTAAGGAAGAGATGGGGACACTGTACTGTAAGAAAGGGATAGGGGATTCTGTTATTTAAGGAAGAGATGGGGACACTGTACTGTAAGAAAGGGATAGGGGATTCTGTTATTTAAGGAAGAGATGGGGATACTGTACTGTAAGAAAGGGATAGGGGATTCTGTTATTTAAGGAAGAGATGGGGACACTGTACTGTAATGAAGGATTGGAGATATTGTAACAAAAGGATGGAATCAGGTGAACTTTAATGTGATGAATGGATTGGGATATTGGACTGTAAGAAAGGGATAGAAGATAATGCACTGTAAGGAAGGGATGGGGATATTGTACAGTAAGAAAGGGTTGAGAGATTCTATTATGTAAGTAATGGATAGGGGATACTGTACTATAAGGTAGGGAAGGGAGAAATTTGACATTAAAGAATAGATTGGGGATAAGGTACAGTGAGGAAAGGAAGGGGAAACTGTACAGTAAGGAAGGGATGGGAGATTCAGTAAGGAAAGGAAGGATGGGGGGTACTGTAATATACAGAAGGAATGGAAGATATGGGGCTGTGGTTGTTAACAGAAGTGAGGATAGGAAATGATATAAAAACAAATATTGCTTACTGCTTTCTGGACCAATAAATCCCAGTTGATTGGCTGGAAAAATGGATGTCCAGTGATTTCCTTTACATCAGCTTCTCCACCACCAAGTCTGGAAATGACAATATATAATAGGCAATCCTTTCCTACTTAAGGCCTATACACAAGCAGTGGAAAATTATTCCTATTCCTGAAGTCCATCATATATTTCACAGAGAGTAGGACTTTGTACCAGACTAAAATAAAACGGTTAAACACATTGATCATTATAAACAAGTTTTGAGATATATTTATGGATATAAAGCACTGTCAGCAGCAATGCTATGACAGTTCTCTTTATTATATATACATTTCTGTCCCATACCTACCTCTTCTTTGGATTTTTTATTAATAATCCTCCCAGCAGAGAAGTCGCTGCTTGTGTTAAAGTCTTTGGGAATCTCACATCTTCCACAAGAATAAGTTCAAACAAAATGTCATGATCACGATTGTAAAATGGTAAACGTCCACACATCATCTCGTACATAACGACGCCTGTACCCCACCAGTCCACTGCTCGGCCATAATCGTTGTCCTCTAGCACCTGGCAGTCATAAGTACACCATGAAAATAATCGGCAGTGCGAAATCATTGATCTAAAATACTGTCTAAAATATCTACTTGAAAAGTCTCCTTTTGCATGAAATATCTACCTCAGGTGAACAGTTTCCTCTTGCAAGAAATATCTTCTTCTGTTACTTAAGAAATTCAGTATCATAAATATTTATCCCTCGTGATAAGCACCTTGTTGTGTGAAATATTTTCCTGTATTTGGTACCCTGGTGTATGAAATATCAACCTCTGATGTTAATTATCTCATTGTGCAAAATATTTATCTTTGGTCATACAAGACTACAGTAAGTGAAATATTTGCCTTCTGATTTCAGTGATGTTGATAAAAACCCAGTACTAGGTATTCTTTACTATTATGAAATATTTACCCCTGGTGTTTTGTTTCCTGGTGTGTGTACGGTTTTTACCTCTAATGTTTAGATGTGTGAAATATTTACCTCTGGTGCCAAATACTCTGGAGTTCCACAAAACGTCTTTGTGCTGGCACCAAAAAACATTTCTTCTTTACACAGACCAAAGTCAGCAATTTTGATATGTCCATCTTTGTCTAGTAATAAATTTTCTAACTGGAAAACAAAAAGAGAAAAAATTAATAGCAGTTTTCATTTATTGTGCTTCAAGCATATAACTTATTTTAATAGCACTTAATACTCAACACATCAAATCATTTTCATTTTGGAAAACAAAATTCAAATGTACAAAAAATAGTATGTCTAGATTGTATATGAAATGGGTGGTTTTGCCAACAAACATTTTATTTTGAAATCTCAGGGTCAGACAAAAGCACTTATTCTAACAGTGGATTTTTTTCAATGAATGAGTGATTTTTATTGTTATATGGGTATACCATTAAGCTGTCATCCTTTACTCTAACCAAGTTTGAAATATTTTCAATGGAAATTAAACAAATTTCAAAATCATGTCAAAATCTATTTTTCCTATATAACTATAGTAAACTTTACCCCTTAACAAAGGGAAGTGTGAGACCCTGGGGCCATGAAATTCACAATTTGGTAAACCACCTTAAGAAGCTTTTATCCACTAAGAGTATTTGATTCTACCATATTTGGATGTTGAAAATAACATTTTTGAAATTTGAGTCAATTTGAATACATTTGACCTTTTTGGCCCTGCCCCTCATGCCCCTGAGGATGGAAACCGTATAATGATCTATTTTGGTTCATCTCTGGCCAGGGAAGGTTTTCGCAAAATTTGGTGAAATTGGTTCCAGGGTTTTTAAGAAGAAGTTGAAAATGTTACATCATTTGATGGCACATGGCGCCAGAGGTGATTGCAATAGGTCACCATACGACTTTGTCTCGGATGACCTTAAAAGTGATTTAAGTACATTATTCCTTCTGATAGAATCCCATCTAATGCTGATGAAGTTAATCTTAACCCAAGATATGAAATAGAAAAGAAAAACAGAAACTGTGATAGGGTTCTCTCCAAAATTACATTCGAAGGACAAGGATCTACAAGAGAACAACAAACCTTCAGATCTCTGTAGACTATATTATTTTCATGAAGGTATCCTAAAGCAGAGATTATTTCTGCTCCATAAAACCGTGTTCTGTCTTCTGTGAATACTCGCTCCCTGGACAGATGGAAAAACAACTCTCCTCCGTTTACATACTCCATCACAAAACACAGGCGGTCTGGTGTTTGGAATGAATACTTGAGTTGCTGCAAAAAGACAAACAGGTATATTTCAGTGACATTTGGGGGAAAAATCACTAAATTCAAAGGTATCCTGCTGGTTTATGCTGTGAAACCTGAACAAAGAAGATATCTTATTAGCATCAACTGATACTGATAATACATTCAAGGTGGAGAAAACCTGGGGAAAAAAACCATATGAGACAGGTATGAAAATACTCACTGTTAAAAATGGATGCTTGGTCGTTTGTAGGACCCTGTTCTCTGTCAATGTGTGTGCCACTTCGTCCTGATCAATAAAAACAAAATTCTTGATAATCAAGAAGGTACTACATAACTTACACTTAATTTTAATTGTAAAATGAAATTTCTTACTATATATTACTTCATTTGTATTCCTTAACTACATTTCTGGGGAAGTAGGAAGATGACATCAATACCCGGTTTCAAAAACATTCAAACAGAAATCAATATTGGAGTTGAAATATCATTACTTCAGAAAATTTGTGTAATGCTTTCCTCACAAAAAACTTAACAAATTGTTTCTTACAGTTGACTGCAGTAGCAAACATGTTCATTGGATAAATTTAAATGATGAATTTTCATTACAAAAACCTCATACTTACTTTTTGGATAATAACTTGTTTTTTGAGAATTTTGATGGCATACAGCTGACTGTTGGCCTTTTCCTTGCACAGGATTACCTTTCCAAATGTTCCTTTTCCCAAGACCTTGAGGAAGTCAAAGTCATCCAAGGTCTGAAGCAAAGTATGAGTTACAAACTTATGTCCTGTTTTTAAGATGGACAGAGAGTAACAAATAATATGAACATACTAACATTTTGTTTTACACTTAAACTAATAAAAGAGGCCTTAATGCTCACCTGAGTCACAATGCTTCTTGTAACATGTCATTGTAACGATTTTGTTGAAAAAGTAATATAACTATATTGTACACATAATGCAGATGTAAATTGTGTATACATTAATTGCTGTCCCATGCTAAGACTTCTAATCAAGTTTGAAATAAAAGAAATTACACTTAAGATTTGAATTTTCCTATATAGAATCTTTGAAATTTCAGTCAATTTGACCCATTTTTGGCTCCACCCATCAACCCCTTGAGGTCAGTCATGCTCAATATGTACATCTCATCAAATAGTCAGCTTTGGTTAATAAAAAATAAATTCTAAGTTTGAACTGTTTCTGAAAGAATATAAACTATATTCAAAAATGTAATTTTCCTATATAAAATAAAGTAAATTTTCCCCTGGACAACTGCCAAGCCATTAATTTGGATTTAATGTTAAAGCTCTTTCACATTTCTAGATAACACATTATACTGGACAACTGCCAAGCCATTAATTTGGATTTAATGTTAAAGCTCAGTGGACATTGTACCTATGTTCACATAATTATTAAATGACCATACCACTTTCTTTTTTGATTTATCAAAGACAGTTGCTCCTCCATCATCTACACCCTTCATGTTTGCAGCAATAGAACGGATAGCCTCCATCCATTCCTGACGCTCATCAGCACTTTCCACACAGAACATGCGCTCCACTACCGTTGTCCATTGCAGGCCACGTATTATAAAAGTGTTTGGACGAGGCTTCTCCTGGGGCATAAGCTGACAATCTGTAACCAAATGTATACATATTCCATTTTCTAAGAAAGAGACATGAATTGGAAATACATAGTTTAAAGTCCAAAGCCTAACAAAATGCAGATTTAACAGTTTACTACAGTAAAATCATGTAGTGCAAAGTATTTTTTCTAAAACACCCTCCTCAATTTTGTTTTGAAATTTTTATCATTGAATCCTTTTCATGCTTCTGAAATGGATTTTGCAATCCCACTTTTTATTTCATTATCATTAAGTCGTACGATCTATGATGATTTAGGATTCACTGTGACATCACAATATGAAAATATTGATGTTAATTCTATTAACAGCACATTAATTTTGTTTTTGGCAGTATCAAAGCTAACCTGCAAATGAAAATATTTAATCAAGAATTTGTTTTTTTTAACATGATTGCACCTATTCCAATGCACACAAGTATCATTGTGTTGACACATTTCTAGATATAGTGAAATGAGCTAGAGCTACTCTCTTAATATATATCTCCCAAACCTTTTCCTGCAGCAGGTCAAGGAAGCCATCTAGATACGCCACAGAGGGCAGGTACTAAACAGAGATGAGAGGGCCCATAAACTCTTGTACACATTATTACATACCAAGGTTTAAATCAAAGTGTAGCTGAATTGACTGTCATGGGATAGTAACAAAGTGTAGCTGAATTGACTGTCATGGGATAGTAACAAAGTGTAGCTGAATTGACTGTCATGGGATAGTAACAAAGTGTAGCTGAATTGACTGTCATGGGATAGTAACAAGCCTAATGGATGGAAAATCACTAATTTTACCTGTTTTCACTCAAATTTTATCGCCATCTCACCACAGTACTTTCAACCTTAGTGTACATAGATAAGATTATGTATATAGCTTAAAAGTTTATGAATTTAATACTTTCTCACAGTACACTTTACACCTTGGTGCAAATACACTTTAACTTTATACACGTACATTCTTAAATGGCTGTCATGTAAGAACTTCAAAATCTATTCAAAATACATTTCCAACCAGAAGAAAATGTAACCAATATCTGATATTGTTTTACCTTTGTGTTAATTTTATTCATGTCTCAAGGAATCAGACAAGCGAATCTGTTGATGATTGTTTTCTATAATCAGTAATATTGACAATGACCTTGAAACACTGAAACATAAATTTATCTAAAATGTAAACTTACATAAAATCCCCATCACTAATTAAGTCACTTGAGTCATGTCATTAAAATTGTTGACAGTAATTGGGACCTTGACCTCTATACCTCTGGCAGTGACATTTCACCATTATTCAATAACTACAATTGTGAGCTGCCTATAGCTATACTTTCACACTTTAAAGCCAAATACAAGTTTGGAAACAGATTACTAAATGTTACCTCTGACAGTAAAGTCATTAAGTGGGTCACTGAGACCATGTTCTGGCTTTGTCCTGAAGCCAAGAAAGGATCCATCGTCACGCAAGATAAAGTACCGCTTCCGCCAGTTCTTTATATGTTCTCCTGAAGAAACAACAAACAATCTTTTAGTAGTCGATCAAATATATATCATTAGGACCTTTACATCAAAACATATCACTGTTGTTAACATGCAAACTTCATCACTTCATCCAACATATCAATTTTGTACATGTATAACAGCTTAATGTACATATAAACAAAAGATTAACCTATTGGATTTTTAAACAGTGTTGACACTTATAATTAACCACATTTGACATACATGTATATAACAGTAAATATTCAGAAAATGAATAAAATTTCTTCTTCCTCATGTTATTGATTAATAGGCAAAAACCATATGACCACTTAAACAGTCATAAACAATTCCTGGAAAACAAGATTGTTTCTAAGTAAATCTATATAAAGGATATCTAAGTACATATTGTATAATTGTTGACAAATCAGGTTTCTACCTTAACAGGTTACCATCACTGTAACTATTACCAACTGTGTGATCACATCCTATATTTTTTACATAGTTTTACATAGCCATTCAACATTTACTATGAAAGGTAGCCATTCAACATTTACTATGAAAGGCCAATTCTTTATCGTTGAAGTTTTTTGACATCATGCTACAAAAAAAAACCCTTAAGGCCACAAAAATATGTGTTGGTAAAACCAATTAACATAACCAAGCATACAAATGAAATGTAGCATACATTACTCCCTTCAACATAAATATAAAATTCCATCAGATACTAGTAACATAATTAAAGAAACATTGGAAGTCATGTCAAATATATCAGCTGGCAATTTTTGAAAAGATTTTTTCTACCTTATGTCTAAAGCCATATAAATGTACATAATTATGAGTCATCCTTTTTCCAGACTAAAAAGGAAGCAGTGGTATACATAAATTACAGTTATCAATGAACACCTCTATTACACCCAGTCATTAAAAGTTCTGCATAAACAGTTTTTAAGGTCCGGCTGTTATATAAGTAGCACTATACTATGTATCATTATATTTTGACCATCCCTATAGAGGAAGTCACAAGACCCCCTAAAAGCCACATGAAAGTGTCCAGGAGACATCTGTTGTGGATTTTAACATCATTATACAGCTCAGAAACAAAACTGTTGTAGGAAGGGTAGACATGATAACTGTAGTCTGTAGCAGGTGTAAAGCTAACATGTCTAAGACAAGGAGACACTTCCTTCCTCGTACAACTTTTTTAGATCAGTACATTTCCTCTGACATAACGTTTACAGAGTTCTAAAACTTACAGGCAATAGGATATAGGATGATTGTAAATCTATAAACACTGAAGTGGTCTACAACTTGATACAACAATACATTTGAAAGCAACTCTAAAGGAACAGTCACCACACTGAAATAACTTGAAATGAAACTTTTATGAAAAAGTTGAAGAAAAATAACAACAATGTCTTCAGTTAATTTTGAGCTTAAACAAACTGTAACATGTATAAAGCAGGTGGTTATATTAAAACAAGACTGACAGTACATAACAAGACTGGTTTGAAATTTCAAACTAGACTACATGTATATGTTATTAAGGGTTTCCTCAGCCATCAGTCTTAAAAAGTTATAACACAATACACCTCTCAACATTTCAGACTAATCATTGCTTGCGGCTGTAGCACAGAATTTACAAGGCAAAGTTTCCAATATCCCATAATTACTTGTGAAACCACTCAGCAATTATTTGTTAAGCTAGTTTATGGCAAATGTATATTGCACAGATCTATTACACGTACAGTAAAAATTCATATGAATACTAGTAGATAGAACTCTTGATAAGATATTTTTCCATTTTATAACACTGTGTACTTTTAAGAATTCTGAAAAATGATACACAAGTGAACAAAATAAGTTTATTGTACATCTCTTTGATTCAAAGGTTAATGCAGTTTACAGGTTAGAAATTATCAAAATTATCTCATGATAAGGTCTAGTCAACTACAATTGTTGATTGTAAATTGTATGGTTTCCAGAAAGGATGTTTAAGTCTATAAATAAAAACATTCAGGTTTCTGATGAGTCTGACCCAAACTAAACACATATACAGTACTGTACATGATGTACACAAACAAAGGACATTGACTGAAGCACTTCTTGAACAGTGTCACATGGCTATAACCCAAGAAGTCACTGTGTTCATCTTACACTCAGAAGCATATTTATATATCTGTAGTTGGGTCTGCTTGGCTAATGACACCACTGAGCGAATTTGTTAAATGACATGTCACTAATGTTTCTTAGGGCTTTTGTAACGATCAATATCTGAACAAGCTTAATTTCCATCTTCTCATCATTCATTGCATGGAATTACAATGATTTCAAGACCACTATACTGATCCAGAAATGTGCTCAGAGAGTAGTATTAGGGACAGATTACAGTACAGCATTACAGTCCCAAATTATAAAGATTATTTTCTTAGCAATCACAGAGTTACAACAGCAGTAGTGCTCTGCAAATTCTTACCTCGTATGTTATGCATGATATTAAATCAATCTCACCTAGCATCTACCATTGTTAAATCTAGACTTGTTTCTACAACTTTTCCATCTAACCTAATTATACACTACAATACTTTTTGTTGCATTTCTATAACATCTGTTATTATAAATGCCTACTTTTTTTAACACACAATCCTGTACTGCTACATCCTATACATTTATTGTCTGTCAATATGTGATTCTTTCCATTTCGTGGCCAAATAGATAACCATTTTTTTCCAGATTATAAGCACCATCTTTTTTCCTTGTAAGTCGCGCATGTAGCTTATATGTGACCAAAAATAAAAAATGGGCAGGATGACAAAAAAAAAACACAAAACAAAACAAAAACAAAACGGGAAGCGTATCAGTACACCAATATGAGACGGTATACTCTTATAACATAAGAGGCTGCTGGCCAGCTGTTTAATTATCAGTCATTACTGCGCTGATTGCAACTAAACAGCGTCTGTCATAAGGGGGTGTTCCCGGAACGCATCCATGTCCATGACAATAGGTAGAAACATCAAAGGGAGGGTAATTATAATCTATTTCATATAGATGCTGTATTTACCTGAGATATTTTACCTGTGGATCTACCTGTAATTTTTACAGATATTACAGATGTATCATTATAAATCAACAATTAATTATTGATATTTTGTCTCTTAATACTTCAGTATTGCAGACAGAAAGTACATGTATACATGCACATGTCCTTCTAAAAAATTGAATCATCTTCTTTCTATGTCAAATTGATAAATAATAAATCTACGCATAATCATTTACATAATCATGTAAAGGTCCGCATGATTACCTATTGGTCTAAATTGTTACAGGCACATGATAGCAAGTACTCTTATATTTTATACACTGTTTTATATAAAAGTAACATTTAAAATGGTATAACTAGTCCGTGGCTGTTATATATCAGAAAAATCTTCAATGAATGTGGTTTAAGCTATATATGGGATATGCAAAGAACAACTAATCATAAGTTTATAATTGGAACGGGTAGATGGAATGGTATTGCGCAGGAAGAAAGATTCTGTACGTATTGTAATGATTATAAAATTGGAGATGAATTTCATTATTTATTAAAATGTTCTAGATTTCTCAGTAAAAGGAAGTATTACTTAGGTGAATATTATTGTAAAAGAATAAAAATGATTAAATTCCAATCATTGATGAATACAAATAATATTAATTACTAAAACAAATGTGTGAATTCAGAAGATTTATATTTTCAATTGTTTGTCCTCCATGACATCAGTTATATATATCATTAATGTTTCTGCCTCTGTGAACCTTTAATTGTTGTATATGTGTTTTGTATGACATTCTCTATGTACATTTGTAAAAAGAGAAATAAATTGAATTAACTTTGAATCATGTTTTAAAAGACTGAACTAAGATAAGTGAACAGTTTTCATATTAAAACATTTCACTGGAAAAATGTCATCTGAACCCAAAAATATTATAATCAAAAATTATATATTGGAAATGATATCACAATAGTTTATATTATTTTGGAATATACAACAAAAATAATATAACATCATTAAAATTTGCATAATAATTACATGTACATTATGTCACCATATATTTTTTTATCATATAACGTCTTTAATTATTTTATTTTATTTCCTTTTTTGGCTGAATTTTTTTTATACATGTACAGGTGAGAACCACAGGTAAAAACATAGATAAACCGAACTAACATTAATGATATAGACTATAATCACTGTAAAAACAAAGTTCCAGGTACATGTTTATGATATGTATGCGTTCCGGGATACAGCCGTCATAAGTTACTCGACATGTAAAACATCATACATTTAGAGTAGAGACTGTCATGAGTTTTTTACTAGTACCAGTTAATCACATGTTTGTGACTGAAACAGATTGTCTAGAACTGTCATTTGCAATCATATACAAGATGATTTGAAGATTGAAATAAAAATAACATTCTTGTGGATTTAATTAATCATACCTTTTGATATGAAATACAATAATTTCTTTTGGATTTTCGTGGGCACTTCACAGCCATAGCGGAAGTTTACAATAGTCTGGTATCAATAGGTCCTCAGGTTATAGGTCAAATTCTAGAATGACTGTCAAGTTTGTTTACAATATGAATTGCTTCCTGTAACTTACATGAAGAAATAATATGGGACTATAAGAATTTTTTCAGCATGCAAGGGCCTTCATTAATATTTAACAGTACAGAAAATAATGGAGAAATTGTTTAGCAAACTGTACATAATGTCAGGCCCTATATCTGTGCACAGATAATCTGTGAATGCACCCCAAGCCAAACAAGTCCAATATTTGCTTTTTCCGTTTTTTGAGCTACATCAATAAAATAAAGGATTATCTGTGTATAATTCATTTGCAAACTTTATCAAATGTATCACCAATGATCTTGATAAGCTGTCCTAAGTTGTTGGTTATATCAATGAACTTTGGTCAACAGAACCCTTACCACTACATAACAACTGCCTTCCCTTATCTGTCACCAGCATGTCAAACGTCAACAATAGTGGTTATCATATCATAAGAAATGGTCGGCTTATATTTCAGTGCGGCTTATATGTGGATCAAAAGAAAAAAATCAGTAATAATCGGCTATGTGACTTATAACCCAGAAAATATGGTACAGTTCATAATTATCATCTTTTGTGCCCCTTTTCAAAAATGTTTTAACAACCGTGTCACACTAATTTCTACCTTCATACAAGAACTTCTATTCTATAGATGCATGTCTTACCTCGTTTCCACAGGAATCCCTCCTTTATGACGGACACAGGGTTGTCTTGGGCAGACATCACTGCCTCTCACAACCAAACACAGGCAGATCTGTAAAAATAATGTGAATGTGTTAATAGATCATATTATCATTAACATACATGATTTACCTTAAATTAAATTGTAACCCTCTCAAGAAAAATATTTTTTACCAGTCACAAATATACAATAAAGTCAGTATTTTCATACAAGAGAAGTCCACAGTGTACACGACTGAATTGTCTAATATATCTACGTTGAATATGCCACCATGCGGAACTGGAAAACACACCATATGATGATAATATTTCAAGCTTTAGTGGTGAACATTGCCTCTTGTTTGATGATTTGAATAAAAAAACTTTCTAGTTTGATATATTTATATACATTTACCAAAAAACTAGTATTCCAAAAATCTTGTGGTTTTATGATTCATACTACATCAAATCTAACATTCACTGAGAAAAATCATTCATTTGTCGGCTAATGCCATGTACTATATGTAGCAGATAACCAGACCACAATATGGTTTTACTCAGCAAATGAGAAGTAATTTTATATCCTTTTGATATCACTGCAACTGTTTGCTTTTTTTCTTATTTGTGTTTGCTATGTTTCTCAACAAGTGTCATGTTGATGCTGTAGTACATAATAATGATAACTGATGAATGAGAAATCATTACAAAATATCTCAACAAGAGTTATATCCCTTGAGCGCCATTTTTTCTACAATTACTAGTCTTATGACCTTGTCTCAGTTTTTTCAGCTTCAATGTGCAACATGGTCTTACATCTTTCAGTTGTTAATAAATATACAGTTCTTTTTAATTTATATGACCAAATGTTTTTATGGCATTTTAATTACATGGTGCTGATTAATTACTCTGTCTGTGATCAATTTCTCAGCCTGTAATCAATTACTAAATTCATTTTAGATACCTGATTTGACAGACCATGTACCATCAACCTGTATGCCACAAAACCAAACCTGTGGGGGAAATTTATGCAGACAAATGATTTGAGTACAATATGCATCAAGTGTTAATTTCCTTCATGTTTACTGTAGTTTGATTAAGGATATACTCCTGTGATGCTTGACTGGAGTAGGACCTAGTTCAATGTAAAATTAATTGCATCATATTTTGGACTTACTTTTTTTTATAGACTTTTGTTATCTACACAAAATGAGAAAGGGCACCTTACATGATGTACTGAAGATATTTTGCCTATGGACTAGACTTTTTGATGGCATGGTTATTAGGTTAAACATGTCTACAATTTCAATGTTTTTTCATTACTAAGGTACTTCTCTTGACTATAATTCAGCCTAGTGTAGATTTCACCTAAATTTTATACAAATTATCACCAAATCACAGATTTCAAATTCATAAATTCAGACTTGGTGAACAACTTTGCTATTTTGATGGAAATTGCGAAAAAAAAAAAAAAAATCACAGCCACCTCCTCTCTTTTATTCAAGCATGAAATCTTTAAAAAAAAGTTACATGTAAGAAGACGGTCAAATAAAGGATTTTAGATATTTTTAAAGAATGCTATGCAGTTAAGAACTCATTCATTCAAATCTAAACTTTATCTTACAAATGGTTGCCCTGAAAATAACAATGAACATCTGTTCCTCAGGAAAAAATTCTGAACAACATGTGAAAATGAATAATTTCCTGCACACATATTCTGATACTTGTGTCAGAAACAATAGGCCTAGTGGCCTTGACAGTCAAGTGTGATACGCAATATTGATTATAAAAGTTAAAGGGTAAGTAGCTTTCAAGTGTCATGAAAAAGAAATTGTGACAATGGTGATAGTAAGCCAGTATCTATACATGCATGCCATGGAAACCCTCATCCTATACTAATACAAACAATTTTTCTATTAAAAAACACAGAAAAAGTTAACCTCCTCCCCAGGAAGAAATGTGAGACCCATTTTGGTAATTATAGCACCTTAAGACACTTCCATCCACGAAGAACTCTTGATTCTACCATATCTGGGTGTTGATAAAATTTCATTAAATCTGAGTCAATTTGACCCCTTTTGGCCCTGCTCATCAGCCCCTGGGGGTCAGTCAGGGTCAATATATGCACACCATCTAGCCATCATCCTTCACTAATAATTCTAACCAAATTTCAAATATTTCCAATAGAAATCAAACAAATTATGCTCAAAAATCTATTTTCACCATATAAACTACAGTAAACTTTCCATCCTTTTTTATTCTACCATAAATCTGGTTGTTCTGAAGAAGATTTTTGAAATCAGATTTAATTTGACCCCTTTTGGCCCCACCACTTAGGCCCCTGTAGGGTGGGGAACATATTATTCACTCTTTTGGTTTATCTTAGGCCAGGGAAAGTTTCTGCAAAATTTTAATGAAATTGTTTAAGGGGTTTTTGAAAAGAAGTCGAAAATGTTAAAAATTTTGATGGATGCATAAGCACGCCTCCAGAGATGATCGATATAGGTCACCATGAGACCGCAGGTCCTAGGTAACCTAAAAAAGTACTGCAACATATTGATTTTTTGCTTTTAATTTATTTTCTAAAATCTAGACTTTCAAAAAATCATCACTAACACAAAAGATTAAACCTCAATTTTTTTCATCACTCAAAGAAGTACATCCTTAACTTACAAAATTTAACTGGCAGTACAATAGTGAATAATGAAGCAGAAGACCCTGGGCCTTAACAGTCATTTGACTATGAAGACCTTTATATATGAAAGAGGCACAATAGGCCTAAAATGTATGCTCAACTATTCTACAGCTTACATAGAAGACATTGTTGGTTCATCAAGACATATTCTGCAAACTTGAAATCATATTCTTTATACATGTACTACACAATTGCCATTACTCCAGATGTATTACTTGCTGAAAAAGCAAGCCACAGGCCCAATACCAAGACCCTTGGCCTTTCCATTGCTTAAGCATTTCAACACATCTGACTCCTCAGACCTTGAAGGTGGTCCAACATCAGCACCCTAGTCCTTTTAGTTAATGAGAATATGTTACTTAAACCTTTTAAGATATTAGATACCTGTGACCTTGAAAGTGGGACAATGTCATTCATATCAACAAAGTTTGAAGCTCTACATCCTTCGCCTTTTGGTTATTGAGAAGAAGTCATTTAAAGAATTTAACATATATGATCTGATTTTAAGAAGAGATTCTCCACTCTCAATGATGCCTTAGACTAATTTTTGTTAAAATTTATTCAAGCATTAAGAAAGAGGAGCATTTTGAAGCAAAACATTGACTAACTTTCTCATTTGGGGCCCCATCCGCCCCCAAGGTCCCTAGGAATCAAATCAAGTTTTGAATTTAAGAAATGATTCCCCACTATCAATGATGTTTCAGACCAAATTTTGGTTGAAATCCATATAAGTATGAAAGAGGAATAGGGTTTTAAAGACAAAGTTTATGCACAACTCATGGTGGACCCTTTAGGTCATCTGACCTATCGGATCAGATGACCTAAAAATAGAGATATACATGCATTTTGACTCATGATGATATGTGATAATTTGATTATATGAAAATGACACTTTAGTTTTGGTGAAAGCTGATAAGCCAAAGATGAAAATACTGAATTAGTTTAGCTGTCTCTTATATTATTGCCTGCATATACCGTATGCTTCAGGATGCGTAACAATTATTTTGATACTGAAGATTAATCCCTGTTACAATATTGTGTTGATGGTTTAGTGTATGAAAGCTTGCCCTCATTATAACCAGTTGTATCACTGATATATTTATAAATCTTAATCATCACCTGACATGTATTAGTTAATTATTAAGCTCTATATAAATACGCACTGATTACTCAACCCAAAGTACAAGTACATACTTTACCAATATACAAGTACTAACTATATTCTAAACACTTATTTATGAAATTGACACAAAAATTGTAATTCAGTCCTCCTGCTATATATATATATATATCAGATGCTAATTAAAAACCTTGAAAGATAATGCTATAACATTTCAATATATGATTAATACTGTGTTAAAAAGAAATCAATTAAAACCGTGATTTATAATGAATATTTTAGCTGACACAATGAGTGCTTTATAGTGACTAAACAAGATAGTTACTTTACTAGTCTGTTTGTTTTTCAGGTTTTCACCCTGTGAATAGCCAAGGTAATTTTGCAGCAGGGTCAAATTGTAGTTAATAGTAGCTACCTTTCTGAACAACATACTGGAGGCCCGAGCATGCCAGAGCAATTTGAGTTAAGTGTCTTGCCCAAGGACACAACTATGAAAGCTCAGACTGGTCCCTTTCTCAGCTTCCAGAAAAGCACGAACTGCCACAGATAGGGAACACCAAACCATGCACCTCCGATCTTCCCCTGTGGCTATGTACTTAAACCAACATTCTAACTGACTTTGCTTTTTGTTGACCCAGTTAATTTATCAATGTTGTAAATATAGAGCATTTGTGTATGTTCATATCATGTTACAAATGAGACTTTTTTTACCCAGCAGTTGAGCAATAAAACTCACTGATGTCTAACATTCTTGAATCATATACATCAATGTTTTTTCTTAGCAGATTAAACATGAATGATTTGAATACTGTTAAATTGAATTCCAATTGCTGTTGGGTGATATACTCCTTTTGTACCTAAGAAAGGCTCAAACTAAAACAAAAGGGTCATGGCCCTTAATGGTCATCTGACATTCAACGAACGGATGGACCAACCACAGAATTTGCTGATGGTGTTCTGCAAAATATGATGAATTCAAATTTTGAACATTCTTGGGAAGTATCAGAAACTCATAAATGGTAGGTTTTGTGCATCAAAAACAATTGCACAATCATGTTACAAAATAACAACAAATCATCTCTTTCTTTTCTTTAAAAAAAATCAAACTCCAAAATATTTTTCTCATTGGTGTGACTGAAACATGTAAAGAAATTCAGACTATTCGTTCTAGATGAGTTATGCTGGATTTTGGACCAAAGGGTAAAAAATTAAGATTTGGTCAGGACAATCTCATGATTCACTTCATGCATGTTTCATGTCATTGCCACTTTCTGATAATACT